CTTCCTCGCTCTGCTTCTGATATTACCTCATTCAAAATGTTCTGCAGTTAAATGTCATTCTGAGAGCAGTCCTGAACAATGCAGCATCCTCACCACACAAGGAGAACACTTCCAATGCATCAAGCTGACACTACTTGAAGACTTAAAAATAAAGCACCAATTTAAACAAACCCCTGCCCCTTTCCATTTTCTCTGTCCCACAGTTGATGACAGAAAACAGGAGAGAATGATTGTTTTGGGAACAATGTTTTCAGGACTCTAAAAAGAATATCAAACCTGCTCTGCCACACTCTCAGCTGTTACAGCCCCAAAAAGCACTGGTTGTCTTTGCTCACAAAGTCACAATTGTGGTGGGATTTCTACCACAGCACAGGACAGCCAATTGTTGATTTTTTTCCTGGGAATAACTACAGCACTTCTGGGTAGCAAGGCAAACATGTGCCTCTTCTAATGGCCCTTGAAACTGGACATGTGAAATGAGGGAGACAAAGCCAAAGCCCAGCTGAACCTGTGATCTCTGAATGGGTCTTCACATCATTATATTTGCCCAATTATCCCATCAAAAAAAACAAAGCAAAATTGTATGTAAGGGCAATTTTAATTAAATAGCTTAAAATATATAAATTTGAATACACTTGAAATATTGACAATGTAATTTGGTTAAAATAAGGGACAATTCGGTTTTAATAATAACGCATAAGCAAAAATAACTGCCCAGGGTAATGTGGGGTACGGAATGAAGGGCTTGACCCCCGTCACCTCTCATACAAGCTTGCCAAGCCCAAATTCCCTCTTTTATATTGTATGTCATTACCATCTCCTCCCATTTTCGGTTTGTCACACTTGTATCTCCACCCCCATCATCACCTTTACCATGCACGCTCCACCATTTTTTAGGTGGTCCCCCACTCTTTGGAGGTCGTCCCTGATGAAGGCCTCTCCTCTTCCTCGATGTCATTTGATTCACCTTTTGGAATACACATGTGCAGGAAGATGGTATAATATAAGCCAAAGCTAATATAATATAAACCAATATTATGTTCCAGCATCAAAGCAATAAATCTCATATAATTAGCATTTTCATGATGTCCCACCAAATTTTCCTCTCTTCCAACTAAATTTAGTAATAGTTATCTCTTGCTTCTTCCTGTTCTGAACATATGCAGGAGAAGGGCTGGGGGGAACCCTTCCTCCTCTGTGAGAGGTTTGTGCAATCATGGCCCCAATTTCCTGCTTTAATGAGTCCCTTGAGAGGTTTGTACTGACACACAGTGGGGCCCATTAATGCTTTGAGATACTCAAGATTTTTTAAGTATTTTGAATTTTCTTTTTCACACTGTGTCTTTGAGAATTTTTTGTGCAATCCTGGCCTCCAGTTCTCTCCTCCAAGGAGTGCATGAGAAGCCTGTGTTGGGGATGGACCTCAGTGGGACTCATTCATGCCTTGAGACACTTTGGGTTTTCTTCTTTCTTGGGCTCCTGGAAAGGTTTGTGCAATCTCCTCTCAGGCCCTGAGGTTCCAGGGCTCAGGTCCAAATGTACCATGGGGCTCATTAGCATCAAGCAGGTCCTAACCAACCATGGCTCTGTTTTGATTCCCCTCTGTTCTAGTGCTGTTCATCAGGAAGTTTTCCTGCTGGAGAAATATTTCAAAGAGCTTCTAGGAAATATGTACTCCTATTTTAAAGGATATCTTTTATTACTTTTCTTATTACAAAAGAGGTGATTGCAGCATTCTGACTGACACTGATCCAGGGACTCTCCTAAGGAGCTCTGGCCTGCTCAGAGAAGCTGTGCCTTGAGCTCTGACCCAGTGTCAACAACCTTGCTCCACATTCCCCATCCCCATCCTGTCTCTCCTCACTCACTTGGGACCTGCTTTGCTTGGAGATCTGACTGCACACAGCCAAAGAGGGTTCTTGTCTTTTTAATTCTTTGAAGCAATCTAAAGCTCTTGAGTTTCTCTGTTGAAAACGTAGACCCTCCTCAAGGTTGTGCCAAGCCCAAGGTGCCACCAAGAGCACTCCAGACCTGCCTTGGGCCAGCTGTGAGGATGGATCATCATGCCAACCTGCACCGGACAGGTTCCCATCTCCTCATTTTGTCAACTGCTCTTTTAACAACCCCTTCACGCATTCAACAAGTCCTGCAGCTTGAGGATAGTCTGGCACATGAAAAACCCTGCAGTCTTAATCACGATGCTTTTCACAGTAACAGACAAAGCACTCTACATCACAGTATCAGCAAACCTTGTAAAAAGAGACAAGCAGTCTTAATCACTGTATTTTTTACAGTAACAGACAAAGCATTCCGCATCACAGTATAAACAAATCCTATAAAAAATGCCAATTTCATCCTTTCCTCCTTTATTCATTACACACAATTCACAAAGTTTACCACTGACATTTGGGTCCTGGCCAGTTCTTTTCTCTAGGGTATTTAGTGTTACAGTGAGCAGCCAAAGCGGACAAATTATTGCCAGCCTTATTTCACATTATCAATTTTTAATTATACAGATATAAATATAGATTATTGTGTTATATTATATATAATTATTATTATTTTATCACTTGCACAAACAAACCTGAGCTCAAGATTGAAACATTCTTCTGTCACTCCATGTGGGAGTGTTCCAACAACAGTTTTTCCTTCAGTTGGTGCTGTTTCCAATGTGTTGTTAACAAAATTCACCCTTGTCTTCCCAAAAACACAAGTTCTTTTCCTTTTTCCACATGCAATTTTTGGATACATTTTAAGACATCCAGGGGTTCATCCTCTTTTAACCAACTGCCCCACTCCTCACATGGTGCCCTCTGCTGGGCTCTGCCTGAGCAGCTCAGCCAGCAGGAAGGGAGCTGCTCCACATGGGAACCAGGAGCTAAGGACACTCTTTTATTTACAGAATGTTTTCTGTTATGAGGAAAAAAAAAAGAAAGGAAAAAGAAAATGAGCAGCTCAGCCAGCAGGAAGGGAGCTGCTCCACACGGGAACCAGGAGCTAAGGACACTCTTTTTTTACAGCATGTTTTCTGTTATAAGGAAAAAAAAATTGGTAAAATGATAAAGATAAAAACAAAACCCAAGTGTGCAGTGAAAAATCTTTTGTGACTTTGTATTAAGAGACAAATGATCTTTTGAAGAAGAAAACTCAGTTATTTTTTTCATACATTACTTTGTGAATGTGCTGATGGCATGGATCCATCTTACTGACCTCAGCAGCCTTTTTAAATGGTTTCTGGGCAATGTTTCCAACATTGTTATTTTAAATTGTGGTTGAAGCAATGGGAAATTGCTTTGTGCCCTTCCAGCTCCAAGCAGGACTGGAAATCTAACCTCTGTCAAACCCCAAACCCTTCAGAAGATGCCCTTCCTTCTCACCCTGTGAATGAGCTGCACATTCCCTTAGAAACTGTCAGGGGTTTCTTAAAGACACAAAGTCCCACTTACAGATTTTTCCTCTGGTTTGGGAGTGCAGAAAGGCAATTCTCCATCCATCAGCTCCAGACTGCACTGCCTCAGGGACACAGCCCACTTGCCAGCTTTGGCCCACTTGTGGCACCTCTAGAGGAAGAAAAAGCCAAAAAGGAATGAAGAGTGTCGCCACGTTTGGCCCACTCATGGCACCTCTAGAGGAGGAAGAAAGTGCAACTGCACAACTCCAGCCAATGAAGAAGGAAGAATGGGACAGACCAAACATCCTGTGGAGAGTGTGGGTCCTTGCCCATTGGATGTGTGTCCCCAGCTGCAATCTCTCACTCGTGGCACCTCTAGAGGAGGAAGAAAAAGCCAAAAAAGAATGAAGAATATGACAGATGAAACATCCTTTGGAGATCCAGGCGTTCAGCTGGGACTGTGGAGAGGTTGCGTTCTTGCCAATTGGATGTGTGTCCCCAGCTGCAATCTCTTGCCTTGCAGGAGATTCCAAGAATGGGACAGACCAAACATCCTGTGGAGAGTGTGGGTCCTTGCCCATTGGATGTGTGTCCCCAGCTGCAATCTCTGGGCCTGCAGGAGAGTCTCACTCACCTGCCAAAGCAGAAAGCTCAGGCGCTGTGCTCGGAACGGGCTCGTCTGATGCAAAGCTGTCAGAGCAATGTGAGGGCAGAGCCAGCCCAGCTGTGCCCAGGGCTGAGACCAGCAGAGCCCCGGCAGAGCCCAGAGCAGCCTCAGCACCCGCAGAGCCTGGCTGCAAGGAGAGAAAGCAGAAACTGCCCGTCAGCTGAAGGCTCCTGTCCCCCTGTCCCAATGCCCGCAATGCCCAGGCCATGCTGGCTGTGCCCAGAGCTGTGCCCAGAGCTGTGCCCAGAGCTGCCCATCAGTGCTGCCTTTGGGAGCAGGGCAGGAGGGCTGGACATGTGCCCAGCCTGCAGCCAGCCATGGCACATCCAGCCCTCAGCAGCTGCCCAGAGCCAAAAAGCAGCTGGGCAGCCGAATGAAGAATTCATTGCATCCCCCCCAGCAAAGGGGGGAACCTTTGGTGCCAGCCAGGGTTCCTGTGGAACACAGACAGAGCTCAGCAGGGGGATGCTGCTGCTCCCAGAGCCTGGCCCCAGCATGCCTGGGCATGTGGGGGCTGGTCCAGCAGCACACAGGGTGACCACTGCCCTCTCACCATCACCTGGGACTTGTGTACAAACTCAGGGCTGGAAAAGAAGACACTGGTGCTGGAAGAGGGCAGCAGAAACCCTTGGAAGGCCCAACCATGATACACAAAGGAAAAACCCACCCACTGGTGGAGAAAACCCACTCTCCTCTCTTCCTGCATGGGCCCCCAAAAAATGTTAATAAGCCAAGGCAAACAAGGGGAGTGGAGCAGTCCAAGCCCCTCCTCCCCTGCACACCAAACCATCCAGGGCATGGGTTCAGACCCCCCCTCTCCGCTACCCACATGGGGGTTTTTGTCGGGCTGGCTGCACCAGCTCCAGCCACAGCCCAGGCCACAGTGGGTACTGAAGGCTGTCAGCAGGGCTGGGAGCTGGTCCCCCTCACACCCCACCCAAATCAACTTGGCTTCAGCATTAATCCCATCCCAGCTGCAGTAGGGGGAAGCGCCAGTGCTACACCCAGGCTGGGCCATGAGATGCCCAGGAGCATCCCCTGCGAGGGCTCACCTGCAAACTGGGTGTAGGCTGTGTCTTGGAGGAAGGCGCCACAGCCAAAGTCGATCAGTTTCAGCTGCCCGCTGGCCAGGTCGAGCACGATGTTCTCGGGCTTGATGTCCCTGTGCAGGACCCCGCAGCTGGTGCAGTGCCGCACGGCCTCCAGCACCTGGCGGAACAGCCCCCGCGCCTCCTCCTCCGGCAGGAACCTCCGCTCCACCAGGAAATCCGAGAGCTCTTGGCACCGCTCCGGATGCTCCAGCACCATCAAGAAGCTGTCGGGGAGCTCAAGCCACTCCAGGAGCTGAATGACACCAGCACAGCCACAGGACACCTTGGCCAGCAGCACGATCTCCAGGGGCGCGCTGGTGCCGTCGGGCTGCGGGAGGAGCGCGATGCCGTCAGTGGAGCTGAGGCCGTGCCAGGGCTCTGGGACCCCTCAGCCAGCCCGGGATGCTCTGCATGCCCTGCTCAGCCCACGCCCGCTCTCCCCACAGGGCTCCTGGCGGCTCCCACCATGCCAGGCCCCGGCTCCTCGCCGCCCGGCACGGCCCGGCTTCTGCCGCTGGCCCCGCTCACTCACCAGCTCGCCCCAGTGCCGGATGCGATCCCGCGGCACGCGTTTGATGGCCACCTATGAGCAAGGGAGAGCAGCGGGCTGAGCTCAACGCCCGTCCCGCCGCACCCCGACCTTCTCTTCCTTGCCCTAGGGGCCGGGGGCGGGCCGGGGGCATGGCCCAGCCCGGCACGGGGAGAGGGAGGCGGGGAGAGGAGAGGGACGTTGGGGAACGGACACCGATGGAAGGGTGTCCGACAGCGGGAAAGGGAGAGAAAGAGAGAGAAAGAGTGCTGTAGACTCTCTGCTTTTGCTGTTGCCGCCGCCGCTGCCGCCGCGGCAACTGAATCCCCGGGGCCGTTTGTCCGCATGTCCGTTCCCCGCTCGAGCCCCACGGGCGAGCCCCGCGCGCCCCGGGACAGCCCCTTGGTCTGTCCACACACGGGAACTTGGCAGTGTCGAGCCCACATGCAGAGCCCTGACTCCTGCACGCCGGCAGAGGAATCCCCTCAATCGCTGCTGTGCATTGTCCTTGCTGCGGGTCAAACACTGTCGGGGCACATTCCCTTGGTGTAGGATTCCTACCTGACCCAAGCACTGCACTTACATCTGCAGTGTTGCTTTCCAGTAAAAACAGGGGAAGGAAAACTGTTGTGTGGCTCATGGTATTTTAGAGTGTCTAAAACATGACACTCTAAAGTGTCATGTTTTAGACAGATAAGTCACCAATCTTAGAGGTGAGGTGCATTTGGAATGAATGGGATGGATAAGTAGTGCAACATGGAAAAGGGCAGACTAGAAATAAATAAAGTTTGCCAACTGCATCCATGGGAAAAGGGTGTGAAAGAACATGGTCTGAAAATGCTAGCAGAGGATGTGAAGATGTTCTGATGATATTGCTGACAGGCTAAGCTACGTGAGCAAGATATGTTTAAGAAATGCTCTTTGTTTTATGCACAGTGCTTTGTTAACCAATCAGATACTTTCCCGTGTCGCTTGAACCCTGGATAACCATATAAATGTACCCTGAACTTAACAATAAATGAGCATTAATCATACTTCTATGAAGATTTGATCTTTGACTCCGAAGGCTCCTCTCCTTTTTCCATTACCCCTACTCTCTCTTTCATGACTTCCCTGAAGAAAAGTGGAAAAAAACCAGTTTATTTAACAAGTAAGGTACTCACAAGCATGAAAAATGAATAATATTAAATAAAACCTCTCACAGCTCTGAAGAGATGACCAATTCAAAAAGTCCTTTTTGTGGGTTGTAGTTGTCTCACTCAGTCTCTTATGAGTCCCTCTGGCACTGGAATGGAACATCCCAGACCTCAGTGGGCCACAGGTATGAGCTGCCGGTGTTTTTCTGGGTTTTCAGTCCAGAGCAGGTTTAAACAGTTGCAAAAAAAAAGGAAAGTCACTGCCCAAGGAACTTCTCTGCCTAAGTCAGCTAAAAACCAAATTGCTAGACCTGGGCTGTGAAGGCACTGGGAAATTTCCAAATCTGGGCACTGGCGGTCCCAGCAAACACCAGATCTGGATGGTGCTGGAGCCAGAACCTGGAAATTTCCAAATTCTGGCTTTCTGTGCCAGCAAATCACTGGACTTGGGCTGTGCTGGCACCAGGAAGTTTTCAGATCTGGGTGCTGGCGCTGCCAGCAAACACCAGATCTGGGTTGTGTTGTTGCCAGTGAAAGAAATCTTCCAGATTTGGGCTCTCCTGGCACCGGGAAATTTCCAAATCTGGGTACTGGTGCAGCAAACACAAGATGTGGGTGGTGCCAGACCCAGTAGCAGGAAAATGCCGGGTTTTGGATTTCTGTGCCAGCAAATTGCTGCACTTGGGCTGTGCCAGAATAGGGAAATTTCCAGATCTGGGCACTGGCAGTGCCAGCAAACACCCCATTTCAGACTCCAGGCTCCAAGAAGGATTGGCTCTGGACCCCTTCCTCTTTTCCTTCCTTCTTTCCTTCCTTCCTTCCTGGGGTCCTGCTGCCAGCAAACACTAGATTGGGCGGTGCTGGCAATGGGAAATTGCTAGGTTTTAGCTTTATTTGCCAGCAAATTGCTGGACATGGGCGGTGCCGGAACAGGGGAATTTCCAGATCTGGGCACTGGTGGTGCCAGCAAACACCAGTGAAACCTTCTGGTCCTGGTCCGGACCATTGACCAGTGGTTTCCCAGAGAACCAGCTCTGGTGACCTTACAGACAGAGACTGCTTTCATCTGGTTGTCTGGAAACAGAACTTTAATGAAGGCAACAACAACAACAAAGAGGATGGCGTGCACAGCAAAGAGAGGGAACCAGAAAAAAGCCTGGGTGCAGGGTCTAGCAGGGATATTTATCCATTTATATATGGGGAGGGGTGTCTTGGTTTGGAAAGACAGGTGTCTGCTAAGGAAGGCAGGAGCCTTCCCTGAACTGGACACTCTAAACCCCCTCCCTCTGAATTGTTATAAATTTGAAAATTAGTGGGGGGCTCTCAGGCAAAGATATGGGAGCAGGAATAACAGTTCTTTTATGAGGGAAGAAAGAAAAATAAACAATGCAGTAAATCAAAACAACACTGACAGAGTCAGAATACAACCTGGCACCCACCGGGTCACGCTGTTGGTAGTACTCCAGTTGGAATGGTGGCTGCAGTCCTCCTGGAGTAGCAGGTGTGGTTCTGTTGGAGCAGGGATGCTGTAGAAAAGGGTGTAGTCTTCCTCTGAAGATGCTGTGGAAGAGGCAGCTGTTGCTCTGGGAATCCAGGGGCAATGCTGTTCTGGTGTCCCAAGATGTCAGGTTCTATCCACTTGGGAATGCTTGGCTCCTCCCTCTGGGCAGAGCATGTCACAGTGGGATGCTGTAATTCTTCTCAGTCATGCAGTGCCATTCAATGGCCCTTGCACAGCAGGTGTCTCCCTGGAGGGAGGACTGGTTGTGGAAGAGATAAGGAAAACTGCCCACTTAACAGAAGAGAACTGCCATAGCTCTAACAGATGGTGAACAGAATACATATTGCTTGGGCATCTAGGACAAGGGGTTAAGGCGGGATCTTAGGGAAGGATCCAAGAGGAAGGAACGATTAGGATTACAAATTTTGCAGTAAAAAGTAACCAATGGTAACAAGGAGAACTCAGAACTTTCTAGTAACATTCTGCATAACTGAACAAGAGTATTATGGCCAAGAGCTGCTGCTCACCCTAACTAAAGAAGGTTTTCCCATGGCCTTAAGCCGAGGTCTCCTTCTTCTTTTAATCCAACCCAAACAGACCAGATGTGGGTTGTGCCAGGTTTTAGCTTTCTTTGCCAGAAAATTGCTGCTTTTGGGTTGTGCCAGCACTGGGAAATTGCCAGATGTGGGCACTGGCAGTGCAGCGCACACCAGATCTTGGCAGGGAAAGTGCCGGAACCAGGAAATTGCCAAATGTTAACTTTCTGTGCCAGCACATTGCTGGAATTATGCTGTGCGGGCATCTGAAATATTCCAGATCTGAGCACTGGCGGTGTCATCAAACATGAAATCAGGTTGGTGTAAGCACCAGGTATTTGCCTGGTTTTGGCTTTCTTTGCCAGCAAATTGCTGGACTTGGGCTGTGCTGACTCCGGGAAATTGCTGGATCTGGGCTCTGGCAGTGCCAGCAAACAACAGGTCTGGGTGGTGTCGGCACCAGGTATTTGATGGGTTTTGGATTTCTGTGCCAGCAAATTGCTGCACTTGGGCTCTGCCAGCACCAGAAAATTTCCAGATCTGGGCAATGGCAGTGCTGGGAAACTCCAGGTCTGGGCAGTGATAGAGCCGGCAACAGAAAATTGCCAGATTTTGTCTTTCTTTGCCAGCAAATTGCTGCACTTTTGCTGCACCGGAACTGGGCAATTTCTGGATCTGGGAACTGGCAGTTCTGGGAAACACCCGATCTGGGCAGTGACAGTCCTGGTGTCAGGAAATTGCTGGGTTTTGGTTTTTATTTTCCAAAAAATTGCTGCACTTGGACTCTGCTGGAACCAGGAAATGTCCAGATCTGGGCACAGGCAGTGACAGGAAACACCAGATCTGGGTGGTGCCAGTGCCAGTAGCGGGAAGTTGCCAGGCTTTGGCTTTTTTTTGCCAGAATATTGCTGCATTTGGGTTGTGCCAGCACTGGGAAATTGCCAGATCTGGGCACTGGCGGTGCCAGCTAACAGCAGATCTAGGTGTTGCCGGTGCTGGCACCAGAAAATTGCCAGGTTTTGTCTTTCTGTGCCAGCAAACTGCTGGAATTGGGCTGTACTACCACCGGGAAACTCCTGGATTTGAGCACCGTCGGTTCCAGCAAACACCAGATCTGGGTGGTGCTGGCAACAGGTATTTGCAAGGTTTTGGCTTTCTTTGCCAGAAAATAACTAGAGTTGGGATGTGCTGGCATCGGGAAATTCCTGCATCTGGGCACTGGCAGTGCCAGCAAACACCAGATCTTGGCATTGCCAGTGACAGTAGCAGGAAATTGCCAGATTTTGGCTTTCTTTACCAGAAAACTACTGGACTTGGCTCTGCTGGAACAGGGAAATTTCCAGATCTGAGCACTTGTGATGACAGCAAACACCAAGTCTAGGCGCCTGTGTTGGCATCAGAAAATTGCTGATCTTGTTTTTTTCTGCCAGCAAATTGCTGGACTTGGGCTGTGCCAGCACTGGGAGATTTCTGGACCTGGCCACTTGCACAGCAATTACCAGATCTGGGTGGTGCTGGTGCCACCACTGTGAAGCATCCGGGTTTTGGCTTTCTTTGCCAGAAAATTGCTGCTTTTGGGTTGTGCCAGCACTGGGAAATTGCCAAATGTTAACTTTCTGTGCCAGCAGATTGCTGGAATTATGCTGTGCAGGCATCTGAAAAATTCCAGATGTGGATACTGGTGGTGTCAGCAAACATGAGGTCGGGTTGGTGTAGGCACCGGGTATTTGCCTGGTTTTGGCTTTCTTTGCCAGCAAATTGCTGGACTTGGGCTGTGCTGACACTGGGAAATTGCCGGATCTGGGCACTGGAAGTTCCGGGAAAAAACAGATCTGGGCAGTGACAGAGCTGGCAATGGAAAATTGCCAGATTTGTCTTTCT